GATGGTGATTTTTTTTTTCTTAGTGATACATAATACACCATTGCTTTAATTTCCACTACTTCAATCATGGGTGAAATTGGGCATGGTTTCATTGCCTTTTGTATGTTTTCTATGAATTGCTTGATTTTATCTTTTATCCACTCGTCTGTTGGCTGTATTTTTCTTATGAATTTATAGGCGTTTTAAAAAGATACTTTATCCCCTAATCCTTCATCTGTTTTATGTCACCAATATCTTCTTTAGCCTCTTGTTTATATTTTAGGTTTGTTTATGATGTGTCATTAATTTTTATGGAAGCACATTTATTCATCTTTTTCTTTATGGCTTGTGTTTGTTAGGACTTAAGAAAAGCCTTGCAGACACCTATTGCATAGGCATATTCACCATTTTTCTATTTTTTAAGCCTTCAAATTGAGATTCCAGTGGGAAATTCAAGTAGAATAATATAAACAGCAGATGATGGTTGAGAAAGGAGAAGTCAAAACCTGAAGATACCCACTAAGTCTTCTTCAGGGTTCGAAACCATAGGCATAAGACTATCCAGAGAAAGCATGGAAAACTAAAGTGCAGTGGATCAGGAATGCAGATCTGAGTACCAGCAATATTAACAATGGATTGAACAAAAGGATATTGAGGAGATGGAAAATGAATGGCCCAAGGGGTAGGAGAAAATCCAGGAAATGATGGGTAAAGGAACAAAGGAAGGCAAGCTTTACTAAGGTTTGGGTTGCCACTGGCATTGGTGATGACGTCCCTCCACCTACTTTTGTCACAATGCTTTACTGTGTCTTTTATCAAGGAGATAAATCTACAGAGCAGGCAGTTGGTCTATTTTTACATTCGTAGAGCTAAGTTTGGCCTACCCACATTGACATACATTCATCCAACTTGGATCAGTCTATAAATCTACTAATGAGACTAGAAGGGCCTGGTGATTGAATAAATTTTGAAATCTTCCCCTTTCTCTGAATAACTGCATCAAAACAAATCTAGGGTCAAACATATTCAGAAATTACTACTACCTTTTTGCTTAGGCGCAAAACCAAAGATGAAGACCTGGCTTCTGGTCTCTTTCTCTTGGTCTCAGCCTTAAAAGAACCAAGGTGCCATCCAGGAAGGTGTAACTTTAGGCTTTGTAATTATGGGGCTTTGACTGGGTATGGTGGAGCACACCTGAAATCCCAGCAGCTCGGGAGGCCTAGGTAGGAGGATCGAAAGTTCAAAGCATGCCTCAGCAAGTTAGTGAGCCCTAAACAACTTAGCAATTCCCTGACTCAAAATATAAAAAGGGCTGGGGATCTGTCTCAGAGGTTAAGCATCCCTGAGTTCAATATCTTGTACCCATAAAAAGAAAAGAAATATGGTGCTTTACTTATAAAACACCTGCTCATTGCAGAGGACTTTGGGGTATGTCTGCAAAGGCTGACAACTCTTGAATGGACCATTTACTACCTTGGAGGCATCCTTTTAGTCATTTTTTTCTCCTGACATTAGTTACTCTGTGAATATATGAAGCACTTTTTCTTGAACTGTCAATGTGTAAATTGTAAAATCTCATCCATGGGGTAAAGGAATGGAATTATTTATGTGATAATTTCTACCTCAGTTTATGATGAAATTACTCACTCAAGTTGTAATTAAGTCATAGACACACTTTCCCCAGTGAGGATAAAAGTAGAGAGGGAATAGTGGCTGTTCTAATCTGGGTACTTAGGGATGTTTGACAGGCATCTGGTGTGTAACTTTATGAATGGAGCAGAAGTTAGGGTCTTTGTAAAAAGGAGAAATGCCCCTCCCCCCAAGGAGTACAGGAGAATAACTGGCTGGAGAGGAAGGGAATAAGTAAAGTTGTAAATAGGATGTCAGTAGGGACATCTGGTGGATAAGGAATAAAGTTGGGGCCTGAGACAAGTAATAGCAGCTAACAGAGGGGCCATGTGGTATGGCTCTGAGCAGAGACAGCACATGCATGTGCCAGGGAGTGATAAGTAAGATCAGGAGGTGGACCACGAGCAGATCAACTTCCCCATGATGGCAGTGTTGCGCGAGCACCTTGGTGGCAATTCCCTTTGGCTGCCCAGACTGTTCAATAGTAATTGTGTGGTGATGTGGTAAGTTCACATCCAAGCTAACACAATAAGAACACTTAGGTATTGCAGACAAAGTAAAATTTATTGAGACAGACAGAAATGCACCTACTCAGGACTACAGTTAAGCATTTGCTCTTAACCAAAGAATTGTGTTCACATTCCAGATAAGTCTATGTGGAAAAGCATTCAGAATACTAGTTTTTCTACATCACTATTTCATCTACAATAGGGACAACAAACTGACACTTTGGATTTGATGAGCTCTTGTTACAACGCTACACATTTAACAGGGACAAACATCAGTGACTTTGAGAAAAAGGTATAAAAAGACCAAAACCACCCACTGTAGAAAGGGCTCTTGGATGTTGCTGTGCAGTGTGATCAAGATAAAGCGGAACTGAAACCAAATGTGCATGGCATCCTGGGAAGAGCAGAGGGGCAGACCTGGAGACACATGTTGTCACTTGTTTCTGGGGGGAGGGAAAGGGGCATAAAGGAGGAGAAACTGATAAAACCCCTCAAATCCAGTATTAAGGTATTCCCATGCCTAGAAAATATTTGTAGAAACAAAAAGACATTTACATGGCAGACAACTAACCATGGTGGAAGAAGATTCTGAGGCTCAAATTGGCTGCCACAATAATGGAATTAAGTAAAGAACTATTTATAAAATAAGAATGAAACTATTCTCTCTACAGAGTTTCCCAAAATGAGTGAGAATCCAACTCAACATCTGTCTCAAAAAGGGACTGGATTATCAATAATACTATTTTCTTTTTTTTTTTTTAAATCAATCTTAGGTATACTTGGTCACTGTAACTAAAGGACCCATTTGAAAAAATAAAAATTTGACTTTTAAGGATTGGGAAACTCAAAATCTCAAAATCTAAAGAACTTGTGGAAAGTACTAAAGATCACTAAAAAACCTAATGCCGACATGCCAAAGTAAGGCATGAAAAGCATTGTTAATGTTGCTTCATTGGTTTGGGGTCCAGTCTTAAGAGGGCTTTTTATTTAATATTTTAATGAATCAAAACATCTTCTTGGAATATATGTGAAAATGGCATCTCATTTTCCTGGGAATTGCCTACAGAACACTCTTCTCCATCATTAAGTTAATGCTAAGGATCTTTAAGTGTCATCTTAATTTGATACTTGTCATAAGATAATTAGGCAAATTAAAATCAGTGGTTCACTCTGATCACAGAGGTTTCTCTAAGTGAAATCAATTTGTCAATTTTAATTTGTTCTCTTGTGCATTTTTCCAAGCTTGAGGAAATAGTAACAATGGTTTTCTTTGATGGTCTAACCTGAGATTCTTTAATATGTCTTATTTTTAATGTACTCTATTGTAATTTAGCGGCAATTAAACACCTGTCTTCTAAACTATGCTCTCAGAGTTTTGTCTGAGGAAAAAAATATGGAAACAGAGGTGATGGAGTTGAGATCCCAATGCAGAGCTTGCCTATCCTATGGTCTCTACTTGGGGAGAGTATACACAGATCCTCAGGATCCTGGCTGTAATTTGTATCTTCCAAGCCAAAGGAGTTAGCAACACTAAGTGTATTCATTTTCCATCTGGGACCAACTCAGAGGAGAATGCCACTTTGTCCAGTCTATCGCAAGGAGTGGAAAATGCTAATTTTAGTAGGTTACTACATACCGAATGGTCAATTTGGGGTGGGTTGAGGGCTGGCCAGCCACATGGTGAGCATGATTTGGCCAAATATACTTTTTGCCTGAGTTGATGTGGTTGTCATGTGGCTTGGTTGAAGCTCATGTGGAAGACCAGAGAGATGTGGCCCTGGCTAGTTAGGGTAAACGGGTCTGTAGAAAACCAATACAGGAGCTTATGGAATGGGGCCATTGTGAAGACTACTCTTTGGTACTTGCGCAAGAAAAATCCTAAAGGATATACAGACGATGCCCCTACCAAATTTGGAACTAGACTCCAATCACAAGGAAGAAAAATGCAATGCTGTAAAGCTTTCTTCAGTAGTTATCCAGACATTTGTGGGGAGGGGGAGGGGGAGGACCAGCACTTAAAAACCTAGCCCTAGCATCCATGTGTTTCTATGAAATTTTTTTTCTAGGACTCCATTTGGGACTCTTTACAAAGGATGGAGAGTGAGAAAAAAATAATCTCTACAACTTTTGTACCCTCATCACAATTCATGGATAGAAAGGCGGGAAAGCAAAATATTAAGAACCCTAATTGTTTTTCTTCTAAGGAATACCATGGTACTATCTTCTCAGAGAACAGGGTGAGTGTGTGCACACCTTAGAAAAAGCCCTTGAGTAGGTAGGGAAGGGAAGGGAGATGCAACAGACAGCGCTGCTGCAGCCTGAGGGGGGCTTTGAGCTGAAAATGATGAGGATGGCTTGTGAAGCTGCCCGAGTGGGAGTTACATGGCTTCTGCAAGGAAAATGATTCAGGCAAATGGAGGCTTATCCAAATCAAAGAGGCTTCCAGTAACTCTGCTAATGCATAGAGAAGAAACCTCCTCAGCCTGCAGGCTACAAGGGTTGACTGTTAGTGCAAAATAGGACTTTGATACAAATTTTTCTTATTCCAGAAATTGTGTTCCAGGTCTGGACAAGTTGACAAATTTGTTATTGTTTTTCAATGAATTTTTAATAGCTAACCAGACACTTTTTCTCAGAGGTGTGTGTTTGTGCAATGCATGTACATATGGTCTCCCCTGTACATGCATATGTAAGCACATGCAGAAAGAATCATTCAGACACCAATTTTTAATAAAGAAGATGAGTTCCCCAAAGGGACTCTTTGACTGAATTAAGGCTGTTGTTTGTAGGAAGCCGGGTATAGTGATGTGGAAAAAAATCTTTTTAATAATAAACACCAGGGGTGGTGGGGCAGGAGGAAAAGGTACAGTGTGGTGTGTTTTCCACGACAGCTACAGGACACAAGAAAAGCACTGAGACACCGTAAGGCTGGGAACCATGCTGTGATAACCACCGATGTGGGTAATCAAAAAGGGTCTTTGACGTTTCAGAGGGTGGGGGCTCCCTGCACTGCTGGAATTCCAATAAATCACATGCTTGTGGCAGAAATCTCACAGGAGGGAAGAAGGCTCTAATTAAGCCAACCGTTCTCTTGTCAAAAACATAAAAAAGAAAAAAAATAATAAAAGTAAAACCCAAAACAACACCTTTCTCCCACACAACTGTATGCAAAATCAGAAAGCTCTGGGGACAGGCAGTTGACTTCCAAACCTTAGGTTGGGTACAGAGAGCAACAGTGGAGAAGACCTTGGTGCCTTGGAGTCTTAGATACAAATGCAGGAACAGGAAGTGTCTTGCAATATTGAGCAAAACGCATGTCCTCTTCCTCATGGGGGCACTACCATATGTACCCAACCTCGTCTTCTTTGTCGTCATCCTCATCCTCGTCGTCCTCTGTCACAGCTCGGGTGTGCACCCTCAGCTTCCCCCCTTTGTCCTTTGGTCCCAGCTCCCGTTCATCCTCTAGGTCATCCAGCAAGACCACGGAGCCACCACTGCCAAAGTCCCCGGAGGTTTCCTGCTCCTCTTCTGACACAGGGGAAAAAAAAATGGTTTCAGGTTGGTTTCTACGTATATCTCATGTCCCACATTGGGAGGTTCCTTCTGCCTGAGACTTAAATGGTAGGGTACAATGCATGGAAATTACTTCTGATGATGTAAATCTCATCACCACCCAGGGAGGGTGAGTCTCTACAGCATGGACCATAGCTGTTTGGATATGAACCCTCAGATTTTTGAGTTGATTCTGCATTCTTAGGAGATTTACTATCCTAAGGAGATTTACTATCCTAAGTGAGAAGTGACAACAGCCTATTTCTCTGTGCCACTGACAGTTCCCTGTCAAAAACTGTTGTCTAACCCATAGGTCCTACCCCTTGCAAAATTAGCAATGGGTGAGCTCCTTCAACTTTTGGGTTCATGTGTATCTATCGTAAACTCGCTGAAGACCAGAGCTAACTCTTGAAATTCTTCTGTGATCCTTCCATGTCCAGGACCCACAGGTCACCCAGGGTCACTGTGGAGTTCATGCAGAAGGTCCTACTCACCACAGCTCACAGCACCCTGTTTCCTGGAGCCAGCCAGCTCATTCCCGTATTTATCCACACACCAGCACTGTCCTGTGCTGCCATGGCACTGGGTGGCTTTGTAATAGCCATCCTCATTGCACCGTGGTATGAATGCCCCTAGGGGAACAGGAAGTCCAACTTTAATCAGAGAAGCACAGACACATTTAGGTTTAATCCCATCCAAGACAGAGAAGAGAATTCACACATCAGGACAAATATTTGCTGCAGGGCTGGCAGGAGAGAATGTGGCTGCTTGGTGATTAGTCAAGATTATAGGGACCATGGCCTTTAAGAGCCCAAATGAATTGAACTCAGTTTTCCAAAGGGCTTGATAATAGCTGTCAGGTGTTGAATGCTGACATGTATTCTGGGCACTAAGACATGCACATATACAAATATGTATACACACACAATCTCCATGAGTCTAAGGCATATGTATCCTTGCTACTTTTTAGTAAATAGGACACTGAAATACGGGAAAATTAAGTAATCTGCCTCAGGCACCCTCTAGAAAATATCAAGTCCAGATTTATGTCAGTCATTCTGAATCTAAAGCAATGCTTCTTCAACTTCTATAATGAAGAACGTACTTGTTTTAACTTCCAATCTATTGTGGACCAATCCTTGATCCAACCACATATGATGACACTGCTATTAAAGTTTCTAAATGTATCAATTTCTGTGCTTACTTCTGAGCAGTAATGTGTTCTGTAAATTACCACAGAGCACATAGTTGCCAGCCTTTCACCTTCCCTGCCATCCTGCCTATAAAAAGGCAATGATAGCTAAGAGCTTTCCTTGCATTATTTCATAGCGTCATCCTAGTATCACCAAAGATGTCGGTGCTGTGTCTACCTCCCTGTTTACATATGGAAGAAATGATGAATTACTTGCCCAAGGTTAGTCGGGATTCCTTCTTTCATGAATTCTTACATTTCCCTTTAAGTGGGTACTACTGTTAATTGCTTTTATTAATACTTGAGAAAAATCATGGTTTTTATCTTTATATACTATTAATGAAATGAATACTGGAAAACATTTAGAATGCTCCTTTCTGTGGATTTAATGTGGATTCTTTTATAAACATGTTACTATTAAAAGCCTTTTTTTGTAAAACGGAAAAAAACCCCTCCTAATTTATTTATAAAATGATTTGGCTAATTTTCTATATGCTGGACATTTTATATAAAATGAGAGTGATATCTTCCTTGAGGATTTTTCCATAAAAATATTCTGGGCCTGTTGTTGCCTATTCCGGCAGGTGAGAGCAGCATTTTGATTCATTTCATGGTTTTGACTAATTGCTGTCCTCTCATTTTTGTGACCAAAAGTTGGTAACTGATAGTATCCATTCCATCTAGGTTTTCATGATTGTTTAATTTCTTTTTCTTTCTTTTTTTTTTTTTAGCACTAGTTATCAAACTTTGGCCCCAGGACTAGCAACAGAATCTGGTAATCCCTTAGAAATACAAATGCTGGGGCCCCATGCTCAAAGCACTGAGCCAAAAACTTGAGAGGGTGGGGCCCAGCAGTCTCTGCTTTGAAAAACCCTCCAAGCTGTTTGAGAGCCACAAATCCAGGTTCCTCCCATTTATATCACTCAAATATTTGAGCTTTTTCACCTCATTGTCCCAGATTTCTCCATTTCATTATTTTTTTCGAAGAAACCACTTCTGATTTGCTGTTGTGTTATTTATTATCTTATTGTTTTATGCTTTAATCTTATCATTTCAGTTTACTGTATTGTCTTGTTAATTTTATTTTGATCTTCATTTTCCACAAATGCACCAGAAGGTAAGTAGATTCCTCTAAGCTTCACCTTAGTTGTTTCCAATAGGTTTTGGTACACAGTGCTTTTCAGTTTCATTTTACTTCTATTATTTATCTGAAATTTGTTGACTTTGTGGTATAGTCCATGGAAGGACATTTCATGTATATTTGAAAGACTGTATACTTTATGCCTATCTGCAGGGATACATATATAAATGTGAATGATAATTTGCTGTTCAGTTCTTCTCTATCCTTTTTTTTTTTGTCTAGTTGAACTGTAATTTTCCAAGGCTCTAAGTATGATTATGGAAATGACAGTTCTTCTTTGCAATTCTATGACAATTTGTTTTAAAGTTGTGATTACATCATCAGTTTGATGGTATAATAGGGCTAAAGGAACATTTTGACAAGATGATACTCTTTGCTTTTTAGAATGCAAAGTATTTGATTTTGTCAGATATGAACACTTATAAAAAGGAATATTTTCTATCTTTAAACTTCAGCTTCCATGGAATTGTTTTAAGTCTAACTTTCTTTTAAAATACCAATCAATAGTTTTGGTCTCATAATAAATGAGATTGGCCCATTTACATTTATTGTGATGATGGATGGCTTACTCTTATGTTTCCCATTTCCTGCCTTCTGTGGAAATCATCCAGTTTAATTTTCTCCATGTTTTCTATGCATTTAAAAACTATCTTAATATTTTTGTGGTTACTTTTAAGTTTTCCAGAGAAGCAGTTTTTCCTAGCAAGATCTAAAGTTAATTTATACTTTCTTACTGAAGAAACAAACAAACAAAATCCCAGACACATTTATACCATGTTTGTTCATTGCCCCCAATAAGCTGAAATTTTAATTATGGTTTGCTATTTTTGCGGGGGTGGGGATACTGGTGGTTAAACTCAGTGGCACTCAGACTGAGCCTCATCCCCAGCCCTATTTTGTATTTTATTTAGAGACCAGGTCTCACTGAATTGCTTAGTGCCTTGCTTTTGCTGAGGCTGGCTTTGAACTCGTATTCCTCTTGCCTCAGCCTCCCAAGCCGCTGGGATTACAAGTGTGTACCACCACACCCAGCAGTTTGCTATATTTTTGTAGACTATTTTTATTTTGAGTGAGCAGCATGTCATTTCTTCTTTTTTTTTTTTTTGTAGTTGAATCTGTAATTCTGGGATAATTTGCCTGGTAGAGTAGGTCCTTTATTGATATTTTATTAAGTCTATGATTGTTAAGCCTACTGACTCTCAGTTTGAGAATCACTCTGTCATCACACTTGAATGATCATTGGGATAAGTTTAAAATTGTAGGTTTAAAGTTCTTTCCCTTTAGCACTTAGGAAATACAATTTTCTTTAAATTAGCTTTGCCACTAACAAGTTTGATGTCCACCTGACAGTCTTTGTGATTGTTTTGCAGTTTTTGTTTTCCTAACAAGATATCTGAGTGTGCTTCGTGACTGTGTGCTCATCTTCTGTGGGAGGATTCTTAGTGTTACCTTTTCCTCAACCTCATGAGCACAAGCCCCTGCTTTTGTGGCTTTCTACTCCCTAATCTTATTTCTGTGTCTTTTAGAGGGACTGAGTTTTCAAATCTACTTTCTATTTCATGGAATGATCCCAGAAAAAGAGTGTGGCATTTCGACAAATTGGAACCAGAATTTAAACATTTTACTCACCAGACTATTCCAACATGACCAGGGTCTCAGAGATCAAATGAGATCCTGGAGAGGAAGGTACCCTGGGGACCCTCAACACCATAGTAAGCAATAAGGAAAGGATGCTGATGCCCCAGTTCGAGGCTCTTAGGTGCACATGCCAGTGTGCATTATCCCTAGTTTTCAGAGAATGGTAGAGGAAATAGAGATAGTACATGCTGTCAATAGTCCCCAAAACCAAAGGGAAAAAAGGAAATAGAGAAAATACATGCTGTCAATAGTCCCCAAAACCAAGGGGAAGAGAAATTTGTGAACAGATTCTCAAAGACTGCAAAGAAAGAGAACAAGCAGAGAGTAGGGAAATGTTGATCCTCCCCCTGGAGCTATAGTTAGAAAACAACAGCACTCAATCGACCTAAAACAAATAAATAAAAATTGGGCCGAGCCCCTGGGTTGGTAAGAAGCAGGTGCTGCACTAAATCTATAATTTAACAAGATTACTGCTTTTTCTAAGTAGGGAGTAATTATAACTGATTATAATTTGTTGCTTGAATATCCCTGAATATGGTTATTATATTAGTATGGTTATTATATTAGATTTCCCCATGCATAAAATAATTGGTAAGCAAATAAATGGCTTTTTTTTTTTAGCCAGTATGAACTCTGTATATACAAGATGTGAAAAGACAATGTGTCTTTCTCCTAGTAGGAGAAAGGCATTTTATTCATGTGTGCTAGGGTAAATGGAAAAATGAGACATCTCAGATGACAGACCTTATAGTTTTCTCATTAATTATTAAATAATGAGGCAATAACAAGATATTCATATCCCATGGAAACTTTTAAAAATATATATACTAATTTCATAATGTCATGTAGATCTTAGGTACGTCACTGAAATCCAAAAGGTTATCTCATGTGGAGGAGCAAGATCAGCCAGCCTAAGTCCCTGCACTGGAAAACGTATGCAGGAGAAATCCAGCCACTTTGTCTTCAGGCCAGGGTGATGTCTTTTTCACACAGGAGAAGAACCTAGACTCCAAGTTAAAAATCAAGACATCTTTAGAGTCTTTTCTGAGTTGAGTGGGGTGTTATCAGAAGTCAAAGGTATGAAGCAAACCAGGGAAGTAATTTTCAAATGTAGAAGGAAGACAGAATATTTACTTTGATGTGATCAAGAAATCGAGAAATCTCCAGAATCCATAGCCTGCTACATTTTACAGTCTGCGAGAAAATTTGCCGGTTTCTTTCAAATAACTAGATAAACTTCTGAAACGGCAGGCTGCTTAGGGAGCGCACCTGCCTCTGCATGCTTAACAAGGAGAATTCTGGATTATTGTGTTGCAGCTGTCAGCTCTTTTAAAAAGCAAAGCAAAGTAGGCTCCTTTTTTTCAGAAAATGAGGTTTGCCAATGTCTTGGTGACAGCCTCTTCTGAATGCCACCATTCCCCCAAGTGGTGGAGCCAGGAAGGCTCAAACAGGCCTGTGTGTCACAGACTTGCATATTAGGGAAACAGGCACAACTCCCTTGTCTATGCCTTAACACTGGAGGTGAAATGAGCAGTTTATAAACAGCCTGAGTGCTTTCCTCCAGGGATTGGGTGAAAGCAGAAATAGGGAAAATTGCAGACACCCCTCAGCCCTCCCTGATTGATAAACTCTGAAGGGGGTACAGCTTGTCTTCCTCCTTGAATGGACAGCTTACTTTGGAGACTAGAAGACATGCTCTCATTTATAGGCCTCATACGTTTAGAGCTGAAAAGAATATTTGAGAACTCCTTTTGATGCCTCTACCTGAAAGAAGAGAAAGCCAAGGTTTGCTGTAGCCCAATATCAGGCAGGACCTAGCAGGAGAGATGGTACTGGCTTTTCAGCTTGACTGAGCTGCCCATTAGACCCAGCCTGACCTGTGGTTCCTCCCGGTGGTAGAGCATGCAGCAGTTCTTAGCCAGCCAGTCCCATTTATGGCCAGATGTCTGCGGCATACTACCAGCTGCCTGTGAGAGCTTGGCCTGGGCCAAAACGAAACATTTCCTTCATGAGACACTGGCCTTAATTGAATAACCATTGCAGGGCTGAACGTTACAAGGGACATGGATGGTTTAATTAGTTGTTTAAACGGGTGGCAAGAAATTGTACTTACCCAACAGGCTTTTCCCCTTGCTCAGCTTCTGAATTCTGTTCATTTCATTCTGGCAAGGGAGACCTAAAAAATAATTTATGGAAGTCAGTTTCCAGATGGTATGGATATAATCTCTAATGATTGACTTCACTCTGGATGTGAAATGCAGACAATGACACACCTGGGAGTAGAACTGCTCCATATGCTGCTATTATGCAACAAAACAAATTCAGGCCATTAGAGTTACTAATTAAAAAAGAAACCATATCACGAGGTACTTAAAATAGTATTTAGGGGCTACTTGCATTGTAACAGGAATTTTTCTTCCTTCTAGCAACTCAAGCAAATGCCTAGTGTCTAATAGGTGATTTGCAAATCGACTTTTCCCCTTTATATCGAGAAGGAAGACTTCAGCAAAGGCTTCTGTGAGCTGAAAACTGGGACTAAGGCTTATTAGTGGGTAAGTGTTCTGAAGCCCCAGACCAAATAAGCAGAGGTGACAAATTTGTGATCTACCCCACGTCTTGCTACTAGAGGAAGAGGACTAAAACTACCCCCAGGACAAGGATGAAAATACAGAAGAGATCTAGAGAGGCAATGCCCATCACAGTTAAGAGCCTTTAAATTTAGGATCTGCCCCTACTCTGAGTACTCTGGCCAGCCTCTCTACCTCTGTCAGCCACTAAGTCCTTAGTTATAAAATGCATGTTGTATGAGCCCCCACGAAACCATCAGGTTTCAAGGAAAGGACAGCTATAGTGGGGGGCCACATGGCTCAGTGGGGTATATGGAAGTATGTAGCACTCTCTCCTCCCTAGAAAACTGATTTCCTTTCCAAACATAGTGATGCAACCTCCTTAAATCTCTAGAATTTGACTCTGACTTGCTTTGGCAGGTCTTGCATCTCTGGGAGGTTCTGCTATTTGCTTATGATCCTTTGGGCCACTGTTCCAGTTCCCTGGACTCCTATTGACTCTTTCTACAAGTCCCACACATATGAAGGATCTAAGTGCCTCTTAGATCCTTCATATGTGTGGGACTTCTATCTCTTACTTTGTGAATTTCACAATACTATCTGGTCTTCCTGTGAGAGAAACAGGTTATATTAGGACTTCTGGTTTTAGGATGCTTTCAGAGTAAAGGAGAAAGATCCAAAGTGAAAGACAACAAATACGAGTAGAACCAAATTCCATCTGTGACTATGAAAGGTAGCATTTATTACAACAAATAATTACCATTTTACTGAACTGTTAAAAATGTGCCAGGCAGTGTTCAAGAACCTTACAGGTCTTCATTGCATCCTCACAACCACCCTACAAGCTAGGTACCTATATTATTTCTCTTTTGCAAATGGAAATTCTCTTCTTTATAACTATTTAGAAAGATGAGAAGAAACTGGGTGTTTGGAATGCTGCTCCTGAAAATGAGGAACATCAAAATCATTCATAAACACCGTGTCAGACAATTTACTATGAAGCAAGTTTCCAATTTCTTTCAAATTGTCCTATAGCAATTTTTAAGACTCTTAAGGAAAAAATTAATCTGACAAAATCTACTCAAAAATGGGGGGGGGGGAGGAGATAAAACTCCAAAGGGAGACATGTTCATCATAGATTCCTCTAAGAAAGCAAGGATTTTAATGAAAACTAAACTGTGTAAAGCAAGATTTCAATGCACAGATGTATAGACTAAAGGATAAAAATGACATGGAAGAGAATTAGGCCATTAAAGAAATGAAGGCCACCTCCAAAGCAACAAAATTTATAAGAAACATCCATGTCATCAATGTTCTTGAGGAAGGAAGAATCAGACAAAACAAAGACAGTTTTCAAGGATAAAGTTAAGTTCCCTGAAAACTAGGATTAAAAAAAAAAAAAAGAATTCAGTTCAAAGGAGCATAACACATCTCGGGGAAAAAGTGACAGTGACACAGAACATGCTTTAGTTTTTCTCTAAGAAATGAATGTGCTTGAAAAGAAGAGAAAGACTGCCTTTAGCTTCCAGGAGAAACATGGCTAGTACTTAACAGCAATTTGTACATACTAGCTGATGTCATTAGAAAACAAAGAAATGAAGTATTAAAAAGTAAAAGAAATTATTTGCAGATGATGGCATCCCATACCTGAAGAATCCAAGCAAACCAACCAGAATATCTTTATGAACACAATGAGAAGGTATAAAGATGGTTAGACATGAAATTGGTACAACCACTAGTGAGAAAGTTCAATGGAAAAAAAGTAGATTTAATTTACGATAACAGTAAAAACAAGAGAAATATAATGGTGAGAACAAAGCTTTAAAATGTAATTCCAGTGGTTGAGGACAAATCCTCTTCTAAGATAAAAAGAGTCAATATTATATAGCTAACAGGAACTTTGTTTTAATTGGACAAATGGCTTCGAAAGTTCACAGTGGAAGAGAAATATATGAAGAGTCAAGAAAATTTTGGAAAAAAAAATTAATGCTACAAGAGAATTGGCCTACCGGGTATTAGAACTTACTGTAAAACAACTGAGATGTAATAGTGTAGAATTGATTTATGATTAGGACAGAGTATTCAGGAAGATCTATATCTTATAGGTACCATTTCAAATTGCCGGGAGAAAGATTAACCAATAAATGACACACAAGGACATCTGGATAACTATCTCTAGGGTTGGGGTGGAACTGAGTCCTTACTTGATTTTGTTTAGATACTTGCACAATCTAGAGTGATACAAGATTTAAATAAGCAACAAAAACTAAAGGTATTGAAGAAAGCATAAGAGGACTTGTTTACTATCTTAAAAATTACAAATACCTTTCTAAGGCTAATGTAAGATTTATGATTTAAAAAAAAACAAAATAAAAAAAATGGAGACATTCAACTGTCTCAATTTCTCTCTAGAAAAAAAATCTATGGTCAAAGGTGGGGAAAATATTTACAATATGACTAAAACAGTTCTAATTTCCTTAATATATTGTTTCCTATTAAAACACAAAAGTCTGATAAAGTGTATAATGAACATAAACATTTATAAACATTTCAAAAATAAAGGAAATCTAAGAGTGCCACAAAGATGCTCAACCTAACTCAGGATTTATTTCATTTCTATTATCATATTTGGACATAATATTTCTTTCCACTGGGCAATGATCACAGTTTGGTTATTCCATGGAGAAATAGGTATTCTTAGGTATTTTGAGTAAGAATAAAAACTAGTGTAACACTTTAAGGGCAAATTCAAAATAATGCCCAAATTAAAGATGTGTTTACTTTTCTCTGGTAATTCTGATTCTAGGAATGTATCTTAATCCTATAAATGTGTACATAGGAAATCATTCAGTGAAAATCCACTGAATGCCCTTTTGTAGTGCCCACAGTTTTATTATGTGTGTATGTTGTCTGTGGATATATAAATAAAAATATATACATAATTTAAATACTATTAGTAGCCATCCTTTTTTCCCAGGGGTGGGGTCGGCCATCCCTGCCTGTAGTAGATTGTCCTTTATACCTCACTCATGCTGAACCAGATTTTCCTGTGGCTTGGAATTAGAATTCCAAAGCAAACCAAGCTGTGCTGGCTCCTTAAACTGTACATACCCCAAGGAAATTGAGACAGATGTAAGTAAAGGGAGGCCCCAGAGCCTCATAGGAAGTCAAGACATCTGCAACAGGATTCCTGCGAGTTCCTGTCTGAGTGTGGGTTACATGAGATATAGATATATTCTTCAAATCTTGTCTTTTTCTTTCAATAGCTGCAATTTATTTATAACTAAAATGTCCTTGTCTGAGACACTAAGTATAATACTTGCAAGTAACCTTCACTTAAGGGAAAATGGAGAATTCACGTCACAATGGGGATTATAATGCCCTTACATTTGCACAGTATTTTTCAACACAGAGAATCTCTTAATGACCTTGGGGATTATGCAGTGAAGGTTTATACACATCCATTTTACAGGTAAAAATATTGAGATACAATAGGGTTGGAGACTTTCCTAAAGAAAGGAACAACTCAAATAAGAGACTCCTTGATTATATTCTTAGTTTTTTAATGTACCATGTTATAAATAAGGAGAAATGAGCCATTGGGATGGCCTTTAAATGGTATGAGCTCTGCCTTCTCCAGCTGTGTCTTTCTATGCACTGGTCCCTGTTCACCTGCTTGCTATGTGATGGGGTCTTCCCTGGCACTCACTTGGCTGCCCTGGGCTCTGAAGCCCACCTCCCTCCAGCCTTACCTCCAGGCTTCTGGAAGCAGTAGCACCACTCGTTGTTAGACAGCTTGCCATCCTTGAAGGAGTCACAAGAGTTGAAGAGTGGCTTGATACAGGGCTCGTACTTATCCAGGTAGATGGCATTGATCTCTGAGTGGTCAAGCAGCAGGTCATAGTTCATGTCCAACTTATTGAACATCCAGCCCAGGGAGTCTTTGCAGATGGGCAGGATGCTGGTATCAAATCCTGCAAGAAAAAGGCTCATCTCAGGTACCACCCAGCCTGGCCTTTCCCACCCTGCCGATCTTCAGATTTCTGCCCCCAGGAGAGACAAGGGCTGGGCTCCACCTCATCCTGGACTCAGGCTGGTTTCTTGCCCAGATATAGTCTCCTTAGTCTGATGGAATATTTTCTTCTTGTTGTGGGTTTCTTAAATGAAACCTATTAAAATGTGCTAAAACAGAAGTCAGTGTTTGAGGAAAATATCTGCTAAAGAAAACAAATCCCCAATTCTAATTTATCTGTGATGTAAATATGGGTTTTCATTTACTAGACCTGCTTAAAACAGGGTATGCCTGAAACGAAGGATACAAATGTCCTGAAAACTACACTTCTCTATTTAGGAAAAAAAAATGAAAAAACCAACACAAAATATTGTGAAAAGGATAGCAGTGAAATGAAACTATGTAGTGTAATCCAGAAGCACTGATTATATCCCAAAGGGCTGTTAATCCAAACAGTCTGAACATTAATGGCAAAACAAGCCAGGTACTGCCTTCGTCCCCATTCTTCTTTTCTGCAATCCCCTAAAGAGATGCATGAGATGGAATCAAAACCAACTCAGACAATCATTTCTTTCTTATTTCCCCAGGGGAGGGGAAGTAGTTTTCTTAAAGAATTATTTGTTTCCACAATGGAAACTGTATGCACTTGAATAACAATACTTAGCTCAACACTTGGGACATTGAGACCACTGTAGACAACCCCCCCCCCAGAAGACATGCCCCAAATCTAAATCTCATCTTTCTTTCAGAGTCAAAGGCATGATACAATCTCAGGTTATTTTATAAATTGGATTTCTAGGACTGGTTTCATTTTCCTGGAATACTGTGATAAAAGTTAACTTTTGTATTGCTATATACAAAGCTCTCCTTTAAGCATTTTAGACTTAATTATCTCACTAAATCCTTGTAGCAGTCCTATGGAATGGTACCACCTGGTCTCTATGGATGAAAAAAATAAGGCTCAAGGTTTGAGTTACTTGTACAAGATCCTGTAATTGTAGAGCTGGAATTCAAACCCAGGCAGCCCAATCCAGAGTCTGTGTCCTCAGTGACTCCTCTCCCAGGGTTACCTTGGTATTCCTACCCTCAGGACATCCACTTGGCTCAGGATGCCATATTCGGGGACAGCCCAAGAAAAACGGTGATACAATGACTATTATGAAGGGTCCTAATGGGTTCAGTTGCCTACTCCATCAGTCCCTACCAACAGCCTGGTCATCAGGTTCTTTATGTACCTTCAGGAGCCCCTGCTCAGGCAGTAGGATATGAGATGCAGGAAAGTGTACCCAACCTTATAAAAGCTGTAACTGGAAAGAAGTCTTCACTGTCCAGAAGTCAATAAAATGAGTTTAACACCTCCCCTCTGAGCTTTCAGAGAGCCCAGTGCTGCCCCTCATTGTCCACACTTATTCATCAGATTTTTAAATACCCCGAGGGCAAAGAATGTCTTAACCCATTCCGTAGAGTCACCATGACAGTCACATGGTCAGTGTCATTAAAACAAGCCAAGGCCTGCCTCAGTCACCACCATCCCCTTTCATTATTATGATTATTGCTGAGAGAAGTTTTCTAGCTACTTTTAAGTTTACCTTTTCCAACATAAAATATCTGCAATTTAAAATTCATTAATTTTGATATGTCAGAATATATCTTTAAAAATCCCCCCTTTCTAGAATGGAAGACATAATGTGTCCCCTTCTCTGATTGAACATGATGACTGTCAAGAGTCTCTATGCTGATGAGGACCCTAAGGGCTGCTACAGGATGACTGACACTAACACCTGGCTCTACACTTTTATAGGCGATATTTTACATTATCTGAATCAATTTTATAGGATATTGACATTTTATACGTAGAAAAGAGGGGTTTACTGCTGATGGGTCATCAAAAAGATGTCCCAAGCTAGTTAGCTAATAATCAAAAGGTTGAGCCCACTCTGCACTCATTCAAAATTTCTAGAAAGAGGCACCTGTATCTGGCATCTGTGGCTACCAGGGGCAGAAGGCCTAGCTGGCCTCAAGTGCACAGGGCCCAGCACAATTCCAAAGCTCCCCCTTCAATGCTCCTGGATTAATAAAAATGTTGCTCCCTCTCTGGACTTCAGGGCTAACCATGCATCCTTCCTCTATATTCCCTCCACACCAATTGCTTCAGGACATCAAACCTAAAGCCTCTTTGGGGACTTAATTTGCTCCTGGCCAAACAAGTCTTTTGCAGGATCCTTGCTGTCTGTGGAAGGAGTCTCCTGGGACTGCAGGCTGTAAGGAGCAGCTCTCTTCACATCAATCTGCTCTCTGTTGAAAAGTTGTTCTGAAAGCCCAAGGGCCAGGCTGCTCCTAGAGGACCCAGGGAAAAAGTTTCCCTAGATCATCTGAGAATTAATTGCCTACAAACTCCCAAAGAACCTCTGCAGGAATGCAAAATAAATTATCTCGCTTCACCCTTCCTATAGATACAACCATCCAATAACCAGCCTTCCCATCTAGATCCTGGGAAAAAAATGCTACCTTGCCCTTAGGATAAAAGATTAAAACTATTAAAATAATTATCCCCTAGGTATACATTCTTCATGGTATTTCTAGAAGGTTATGAGCAGCAAAGAACAATCAAAGATTAAGGTGGGTTTGTTGTTGTTGTTGTTATTATGATGTCTGAGATGGGTCTTGCTGTGTTGCCCAGACGGGATCCTAATAGTGGGCAATATAAATTCTTACCTTCTGCATTGAACCAGGAGCATTATTTTTGAAAATTCCATCCAAACAAATGGAGGATCAGGGATGGGATAAAATGCTTTGTTTCAAACAACATGTTTTTATATTTTGACCAAGTAATATCTAAGTGGCTATACAGAATAGGTTGTGGCAGAACTACATGCATCTGAACAATTGTGTCGCTCAGCAATATATTCTGTGCCAGTTGACCACAGTGTGGAGAGCCCATCTCTAACCACCATTGAGTTAAATGCATAGAGGGACTCCATTGAAGTGCAAATACTGGTGGCCCAGGAGCCTCTTTTCTGGCTGATGACAGGGCAGAATATGGCTTCTGCCCATTCAGCAGCCTGGGCCAATGGTGGCTCCTTGAGGAAACTATAGGGTGATGCGGGGTAGGGCCCACTTGTCTGGGAGTTTGAAGAGATAACAAAATGCAGTCTGACCAATGTATACAAAGACATTAGCAAAGATACTTGCAACAGTGTTGGTTTAGCTAAACCTTACCAACAACCTAAACTCCCCAAAATAAAGGTCTACATAAATATATTGTTATATCTAAAAATTAGAATTCTATGTAGCTATTGCAAAGAATACTTCTCAACAATATGACTGAATAGTCATATTTCTAAATAAAAGGTCATAAGACAATCTTAAAGTTTGACCCAAACTTTGTAATCAGTCATACACATAAGCACATGTACTTTCATATAGGTCAAGGAAAAGCCCTCCGAGTTTATACTGGGGCATGCTCATAGTTATTAAAATGGTGGGAGTATATATTTTTCCTTTTCTTTTTGTACACCAAATGTGTTTTCCAAAATGTCTATAGTAAACACAATATTTTAAATTAGCCTTTTCAAAACACAAACTGTTTTTTGAGTCCAAAGCATTGCTTCCTTCTCCACATTTTAATATTTCTAAAATTGGGACATATTTTAAAATCAACATGTACATTTAATGTAGGGTTTCTTTAACCCCAAAATGCTATTGTTAAATCAATAAAGTCTAATAACTGAAGAAATGTGATACTTGCAGTGAGATAAATTAGCAAAAGTAGAGTGGTCTTACTGCCTTGGGCTGTGTCGGAGCTGGTGGGCTTGATGACCCTGTTTGCATCCTCATGCAGAGCTCCAAACCAGTCTTTCAGCCGGGAGGCAAGATTCCTCAGTTCCTTGTCCGTGCAGGCTGGAAAAAAGCAAATAGGACAAACAGTGAGTCCTGAGTTTTCTGCCCTCAGTGTGCAAGGCTATTGGGAAAGTCACGTTCAAAGCAAACCTCAAACACAATGTAAATCCCACCTTTGCTCTGAAAGTACTCCAAAGGATGCTGCCATCACAAGTAGAGTAAAATAAAGAAGAGCCTAAATTCCCAGGACAGCCAGCATTGTTCAGACTTAAATTTGGATAGCCTGCATGCTGGTAAAGCAAGCTGCACAAGCCTCTCAGTTGTGTGTGCAGCATCCTCAGAAGACCAACACTGATCCTTTTTGCTAACCACATACAACTTGCTATTGCACATTTGCCAGAGCAAATTACATTTTCCACTATACTCATGCCAAGAGATTAACACCAAGCAATAACTAACGCTCTTAGGGAGAGGCTGCTTAGGACACCAAAAGATTCCAGTAATAGCAGACTCTCCAGTTTGTTTTAGCTCAAGAGTTGAATTTGAGTTTGGGACTTATTTTTCTTCCTATGGACTCAGTCTTACTTTCCATTATTGACAGATGGATGCCTTCTCCATGGAAGAGTCTTTTATGTCTCAGCCCATCTATAACTATCTGGCTCATTTTGGGGGATATGAGTTGGGGCAGATGGATACTCCTGAGGAAAGAAAATACAGATGGATGGATGCACAGGCAGGTGAGCAGGTGAGTACAGCTATTTGAAGTTGTCTTAGAAGTCTGGAATAAGACTTGATAGGAGAAACCATAAAGCAGAGAAAAGGATGCAGACAGGAGCCGACTTTGCCTATTTTCCTGACTTTGCCTCAGGGAATGCTTTAATTCTGAGTTTTGAGAATCCTGGCAAAGGATTCAGGCAGTGGGCCGCTACCAAGAGACAGAAAAACCAGCAATGCATTTTGTGGCCTTTAGCAATTGGGGAGAGAAATTAGAAACCCACATAGCCAAAATCCCAATGAATAAGGGATGTGGGGAGGAACACCACAACTGTCACTTTTCCCAAATTCTAAAGCTCCACAAGCAAGCAGCTAAGCAGTCAAAAGCTCAGTGTTGCACAGTGAGCCAAGTTCTGAGTGTCTCTGATGCTAAAGGCTCAGAAGCCACCACACATCTAGACTCATCCTCACCTGGGTACCTAACCAGCCTCCAAACAGCACAGACCCTGACTGAATTGAGGTGCCTAGMTACCATCTGCCTTGCAAAGGCCAGGTGACTCTTCACCAGAAGAAAACACCACCATACAGAGCCTCTCCTTATTTCTGTTTTCCATGTCTGCTTTATAGTCCAGCTCATCTTTCCTGAGCCTGGTAGAAAAGCCAGCTTCCCAGACCTCCGGCAGGAAAGATGTCTCCTCATTCACCAGTGACTAGGCCCAGACTAGCTCTATGCAACCTAAAAGCTACTTTCATTCCAGCTAATATCCAAACTTTAAACTCTGCAAAGTACCACCTGGATGTGTGTTCAGTGCTTATACCCAAGTTGCTAATTACCTCAAGACACTTCCTTGCTTTTACCAAATAGGACATGACCATATTTTAAAACAGCCACTAAGAAATGTCTTCACAGACCACATAGAAGGATGTGGGATCTGTGGTCAATCTCACATTTGAAATTGGAAAATTCATAGCATCTATGTTTTCTCTCGCTATGCACACCATCTATTCCAAATGTTCTCTGAGCAGAGAAAATTGCCAAGTCAACTTGCAAAGGAAATCACTCACTGCAAGATAAATTACTCAGTTGTGTTTCACTAAACCCTGACAGATGTGCAGGTAATCTGTATCTTCACAAGACTCCTGGATTTCCCATAGGCTTCCCAAAGTACACAGGCTGTGGACGGTCGAAGGAATCAGGCACTGGAATCTTGAAAGAGTGAATCTGTCACTCAGGGACAGATCCACAAGCAGGGAGCTGTTGGCATGGATAGAGAGAGATTGGAAAACCAAAATGGAGATAGGTCCTCAACAGAGAAGTCCAAAACCCTGTTCACTCATAGTGCCCTCAACAGAGAAGTCCTTGGGAGGAGAAAGTCAGGCATATCCAGCCTAGAGCTTGCTATATTCCAGAGGAAAAAAAATAATCAAAGATGACAGCCTGCAGAGAGCTATTTGTTCAGATTTGGTTCTCCAGCCACAGTACACAGCTGTACATGGGAGGAAAACACTTGCCTTTTAAGGGTTCATCACCACCCCGAACAAAATTTCTAACCTGTGATTCTTGCTTTCAGAAGTGAGGGACCCAAGAGTCCTTGCAATATACTTAGTACCTTCCTAGGGAAAATTATTTTTTTAAGAGAGAGAGAGAGAGAGAGAGAGAATTTTTTTAATATTTTTTTTTTTTTTAGTTTTCGGCGGACACAACATCTTTGTATGTAGTGCTGAGGATCGAACCCGGGCCGCATGCATGCCAGGCGAGCCCGCTACCACTTGAGCCACATCCCCAGCCCCTAGGAAAATTAATTTTATGGGGAAGAAAGTGTAAAATCATATCCACCTGCTGTTCCTGCACTCTGCCCTGAAGTGGGCCAGTCTTATCATTTCTAATGAGGAGTCCTGCTGCTTTCCACCCTTCCTGGTGAGAGATGAAGGTGCTCAGCATCAGTCTTCAGAGGAAATATGGTGCTGTCTAGGGAAGCATTTGGTTAAGTCATGAAGATCAGAGAGCTGAGCTATTTTTCCACTACATTACTTTCCTGAGTGGATGACTACCAGCTAGCCCCCTTCTTCTCCCATGTTCAGTTATATCCCCCTCTGGCTTCCACCTGGATTTCAGCTTGCTTTGCGTTGTTCTCATTCTCCCAGTAGTCTCTGCTCAGCATCTTCCATCTCAATGATGTTTCCCCATTTGCCTTTCTTGTTTCTCCAGGTCACTTTGTACCTTTCTTACGTGACCCCAATCTGCTCCAACATGGCTGGTACATTGGCATCATTTTTGGGATCCACTGATTCCCAAGGTGAGCCTCTTCTCACAGGAGGTACCCAGATATTCAAAGCCTCAGGTAAACACTTAGGAATTGTCCTAGATTTGTCTTCTGCACTCTCCTTATCAGTGGGCCACAGAATGTTTGCTTCTTGCTATCTCTGCCTTTATTCCAGTCCATAATGCCCAGGGACATCTATACAGGCTCCAAATTGAACTCCCATCTTTCTCCCCACATTCTCTTTTTCATCCAGCAGCTAGAGTGACCTTTCTAAAATGGACATTTGTCACTTTCCTGCTTGAGCTACTTCAAAGGCTCACACTTACTCTGTAAGTTAAGTCATAACTTCATGGTATGACCTAAGTGATGGTAGGGTCCATCACTGAAGACCTTGCTGTCTCCATTCTGCATTCACCTGCCTTGGCCTCCATGTTCTGTCCTTCCTCCCATTCCTTCACTCTTTCACCTGGACATACCTCTCCTTGTCTCCTTGACAATGCCAATGTCTCCATTATATCTTAGTTTTAAGGTTACTTCCTCTCTGAGTACTTCCTAACACTCGGACTTGCTCCTCAGATGACTTTTATCCCACCTCTGATTTCTCATTCAATGCCCATATCCCCCTAGATCATAGCAACATAAACATGTTCTGAGATTCCTCAACATCAAACACAGCCTGGCATAGAAATGCTCTCAATATATACCTACTGCTGGGCTGTCATAACCCCCTTGTTGCCTTTTGAAAGTTACATTTTTTCCATCTGCAAAATGGCATAATAAAACTTAGCTAATAGCATCAGTAGAACATGGCTCATAGCTTCTGGCCTATAGCAGGGACTCAATAAATTTATATTCTCCTTTCCATACCGCAACAGTCTACATAATGTTAGAATTGTATTGTTATGCTTTATTTTTAAGCCCGGGGGAGTTGCTGGTAGCATAAAGAGTAACATGTCTCCTTACTTCTTTTATAGGCAAGTCAGTCAGAAGTTCAAGAGATTTGGGTTGCAATTTCTGCCTGCCTTCTCTCAAGTGGATAAACTCCACAGTGGGGGGATAGGTCTGACTTGCCCACACCTATGTTCCTATTACTTACCATAAAGTGTATGTAGTAGTTGTTCAAAAGAAAACATGAATGAAAGGACACATGAGTTACAAATTCCCAAGGTCAAATGCTATTATGTTGTAGAGTCGGGACTTGAATGCCATCCCTGTGTGTGGGACTGGTTTCCTGGATAGATTTGGCTTACAAGTTTTTAGTCCTCATGTATGCCATTAATATACATGGTCCAAGCTCTGGGTTGAAAGAAGTACAAATGTCAGGTCCTCGCATGTAAAGGATGCTCTATAATGACATAGGCAGGCAGCTTGCTGAGCGATACAGGACAGAGCAAGCCCTTACCTTCATTAGCTTTGGTGTGAGAACAATGGCCTTTTGGGAGGACTGCCAGAACAGCCTGCTACACGTCACATGGGCAGCCACTAGGGCTTCATTAGAGAAAAGCATAGTGCCATTGCACATTACTCCACAATGTGAAAAAAAGACAGGTCCCTCCCCTAGGAAAGCAGAGCACACAGGCAGGGAAGGGCCCAGGTAATCTGAGGCTCTCCCAATGGACTTTGCCTGTCTGGAAAATATGACTGAAATGCAATAAGCAAATGTAAATGAGGCACATTCCATATCCATGGAAGGTAGATAGCACCGGGAAACAGATGTGATGGCCATTTCCACCTGGGCACCTTCTCGCCCCTCCATCCAAGGGTGTGGAGCTTTAAAGCACCATGAGCTAGCCTGGATTTGAATGCAGACAGCATTGAAGAAAAGCCTGAAGTACAGCATAAGCAACCCAGTTGACAGAAGTGGAAAGGACTCACTGTTGCCAATAAGGTAGAAGAAGCTCTTTCAGGGTTACTGCAGCAGCCCTGGAGGTTAGAGAAGGCCAAGGGAGAGGACTGATCTCATAATATTTGCTTATGGGGCAGTTAGGCTGCCTGGGCAGCAGATAATGGGGGAGGAAAGGCATTGCTTCTGATCTGAATGTCACTAGCCTATCTCCGCCTAACCCTGGCCCCTGTGTTCCA